TTTAGATTTTATAATCGTTTTTGAACAGCAGACCTAATTTTTTAAGTTACTACTATTGTTGAAGTCCACAGCCTTCAAAATGTGAACCCAATTCAGAAGACGAGGTAACTCCTAGATCAAGTGTTTTTGGGAGAAATTTGCCTTCGTGGAGAACTTTTTGATGAAACTAACCCGTATTTGCGTTACATGGAGAGGAAACTGACGAAAACCTTTCATGGTTAGCATGACGACAAGGGGACTTTTACCCATGATCCGTCTACTACAGTGGATATTTTACGCCAGCACTGTGGTCGGTGCAAGTCGGAAGCGGTATTCGTATCGACCTGTCATTGCTGGGATTTGTCCCCCGTCCACCTCATTGAAAGGTGAACGCTCTACCCTCTGACCCATCCCGGCTCGAATATTTTAATAGATTGCTATTTATGTCATGGTTAAATCTTAATGGCTTGACTCTAAGGGGTAAGCAGCTGTTCTTTTGGTACGATAGTTAATCTTTGCCTATCATCTCTCTAACCGGAAATCTATTATCCTCCGTCTCGGAGCCTGGGACTGAGAAACAGTATATTGACTTCTATAATACTTTACTTTTTAATAAAATCAGTTAATCACCAGAGAATTTTTATTATTTATTTTTACATGCACTTTCTGATTTTATTTCTCAGTTATTTTGCTTGAAACGATTAAATGATTTCTAGCTGATACTCATCCAAAAAAAATTTTTCAACAGTGAGTGTTAAATATTTTCGTAAAATAACCAAACTACTTAAGTTCTTATTGTCCTTTTTTGAGTGCAATGAAAAACTTAATGTAATTTTGTAACTGAACAAGTTCTCCGTTTACTTCATAAAAATAGGTGAAACTGTACCAAAGGAAGAATGGATTCCTCCCTTCGATTACAGTGAAGGAGATACTTTCTCAAAACAATCTTTGATGGACTCTGCTCGTCTGTCAAGCAGCCAGATTTTGCCAGAATCGTCCATTTTTAATACTCCCTGTTATGACTTGAATGAGTCTCTTCAAAGCTGTGAGGATATTAGCGACTTAGACAGACAATTAGACATTATGAGACAACCGTTTCCACGGGTTTGTATTCTAACAATATATGATTTTTTTTTCTTTTTTGTTATTGGTCATTCATAGGAAACTGTTTAAATGTTACATTAGCATCGAACGGGATTTGCTTATTTTTGCTGTCAAGTGTTAAGAGTGTATATCTCTGGAGTAAATACAACTTCACATATAGTTTGTTTATGTAAAGAACTCCCCTTGCTATTCGTCTGAAATAGTGGCTATGGTTACTGGGTTTAACTATTTCAAGTAGGGAGTTGGGTCATTATTTAAGACAGGGTTTGGCTCGGGTCGACTAGAGAAAGTGAATCAGGAAAGAAGGAAATTCCTCTTTTTGAAATGCGCTATTTCTTGTTACCATAGCAGCTCATGGTCTTAGACTTTGTGGCGTGGAGAGTTCTTTCGATAGATAAACTATACCACCCTCTGATTTTCAATATTTTTTGTTAATTGTATTTTTAAATTCTAACAATATTCTTTTAATGCATTTTTGAGTATACTTAAGTGAAATGTTATTAAAGTGGAGTTATTTTAAATAATCTTGCTCAATCAATTTTACTCAAATTCAATTTTTAATTATTGCCACTGTCTTTAATTTTCAGCTCTCACTGGAAAATACTATGTCTATGCAAGCTGAAAATGAGAAAGTGAGAGACATGGATGAGAATTATGAAGCTGAAATGGTATGTACGTTATAAGCCACCACAAAATGGGGAAAAACAAAATATTATTACTCCTTCCATAAATTTGGTTTTTGAGTTGTTTGTTTACATTTTTTTTGCCATGGTCTTTTTATTCTACATCTAAATTTCATAAATTTAACTTCTGCCGTTAGATATTAAGTTATCAGCTAATTTCAAAACGGTTACGGTTATTTAGTAAAAGGAGCATTTGTGTCTGATTTCGAAAATGTTATTTTAGGTTTATTACTTATAGGGAAAATTTAATGTCTGGAATAGACATATAGTAACAATTTATTACTCAGATATTTAGATTTTTTAATAGTCCTATTTATATTACGTTTATTGCATTATTGGTAGAAAGATTTTTATTAAATTAATTTTGTCTTTCTACATAGGTCAAACTAAAGGAAGAATTGTTTTTTTCTGAGGAACAAATCCTTATACTTCACCAGGATATGGAAACAATTACTCAAGAGTTAAAGTTACAAAAGGAAAGAAACGAGGAGTTATCAAACATGTTGATAACAGAGAACAAAAAAAAGAAAACACACGAAACAAAAGCAGAATGTTGCATGCAAGATCTCTACAATTTCAAAAGGATCATGAATGAATGCTTAGCGCTTTTAAATCAAAAAATGTCAGAAGAAATTAACGCAAATTTTAATTCACCTAAATCTTTACCTGAAGTCAACCCAGAAATTGCGGGACAGTTGAACCACATCACCGGCAAAGTGCTAAAAGAAACGTTGAGTTCAGAAGATATTCAGAATCAAATTTTCATGTTGTTTGCCCATCTTCAAAGACTGTCGCGGTTTCACATTGTGCAAGAGCAAAAGATTGCTGCAGTCTCCTCAGAAAGAGATTCTGCAGATGAAAAAATTATATCATTGCAGAATGAACTATGCAATTTAAATACAAGCCATGCAGCTAAAGACCAGGCTTTGCAAGCATCAATACTTGAGAAGTTGCAACATTTAAAGACAGAAGGTTTGCAGGAATCATTACGGAAATGCAATATCCAAAATAACATTATAGAACTTTGCGATCAGCTTATAAATTTGTCGGAAAAATGTGATCTGCAAGAGCAAAAAATTGCAGCAGTTACGGATGAAAGAGACTCTGCAGTTGAAAAAAATATATCATTTCAGGATGAACTATGTCATTTAAATGCAAGCTATGCAGCGAAAGATCAGGCTTTGCAAGCATCAATAGATGAGAAGTTGCAACATTTAAAGATAGAAGGTTTGCAGGAATCATTACGGGAAAACAATATCCAAAATAATATTATAAAACTCTGTGATTGGCTTATAAAATTGTTCGAAGAATGTGACCTGAAAGACCAAAAAATTTTAGAACTTTCGAAAGAAAAAGATTCTGCAGATGAAAAATTTATATCATTGCAGAATGAGCTATGCAATTTGGAAGCAAGACATGCAGCTAAAGATCAGGCTTTGCAAGCAATATCCAAAATAATATTTTAAAACTCTGTGATCAGTTTATAAATTTGTCGGGAAAATGTGATCTGCAAGAACAAAAAATTGCTAAACTTTCGAAAGAAAAAGATTCTGCAGTTGAAAAAAGTATGTCATTACAGAAAGATATATGCAATGTAAATAAAAAGCATGCAGCCGAAGATCAAGCTTTACGAACAGCATTAGTAGAGAAGCTGCAACACTTGAACATACCTTTTTTCAATGAATTATCAAGTGTAAGTGATGTTAAAAACAATATCATGAAGCTGTGTGATCTGCTTTCAAGTTTGTCGAAAAAATGTGACCAAAAAGACCAAAGAATTGCACAAATTTCGAGAGAATTAGATTCTCAATACGAAAGTAATACGTCGTTACGAAAAGAAATATGCAATTTAAATGAAAGCTATGCAGCTAAAGAACGGGCAATGAAAGCATCATCAATTGATAAAGCATGTGCACAAATTGCAAGACTTGTTGAGAGTTGGGATGAATAGGCCACTGAGTGAATGCAATTTTAAAAATTAAGTTTTGAAGTTGTGCAATCAGCTTATAAGTTTGTCTAAAAGAATTGATCTGTAAGACCAAACAATTGTAAAATTTGTAAAAATAATAGAAACTGCATGGATGCTTGTTGTTAGTTATAATTAATGTGTTTTATTCTGGTTGGATTGCTATAAATGAATAAAGTTAATGTTATAAAAAGTTTAAGGATCAATTTTTAAGACCAAATAAAGATCAATTATAATACGTATAATGAAAGAAGGAAGAAAATTATAAAGAAAGTTTAAGAATAAATATATATTAAGTTTTTCCAAAATTTAATTAAAAACAATAGATATCCAACAAATGTAATTAAATTATTATCAAAATCATTGAGTTAATTGTGTGTTAAATTAGATAAATGAATATATTTTCACAAAAATCTTTCTTGTTACATAAACTAGTCTAATCGGGCAAATCCAAGGATAATACACACACACACATAAATTCAGGGTGTCTTATAAATGCTGCACACCACACCTAAATATATCTTTATCTAACGATTATAGGAGCATGGTTTCAATTTAAGAAATCGTTTATTTTGATCAATCATTAATTTTTTAACATTCTAATTTTTCAACAATTTACTAATTTTAAATTTTTATTCGGCACCCAGAGACAAAAAATATTATATATCACAGATTCCCACTCAAGAAATTAATAAAAATGGTAAAAAACACGTCATCCTAATTTAAAAATCACCCGAGATATCAATATTTAAAGTTTATATCTAATATTAAGGGGGGGGTCATATACTTAAAGCTCATCGCCAGACTAATACACTGCGAGAGAAAAAAATTAATTGCAGGGAAAACCGTTTGATAAAAATAATATTGCAATCAGATTGATTCGAAAAATTTTCCATAGAAATACTTAATTGAATGAAAGCATAAAATATTTGAAAACAATATTTTTTACAATACCATAATAATAATATTATCAATAAATTACTTTTTTATTTTTAAAAGTAAAATATTTTATTCGTCACATAGAAATAAATGAGATTTCTTTTCTTTTCATAATGTATTATTGTTGAAAATTTTCAGAAAATTTTATTTTTTGAGACCTATAGTAATTTTTTGTCGCTTTATTTAGTATTTTTGGCAATGATGTTGAAATTCGGCGTTGAAAAAAGAGATTAATAACAAGGATCATTAAGAAATACTTCTCAATTTGCTTAAGTTTATCATTAGAATACATAAGTAAATTCGTAGCATTTCGCTAGTTTCCGCCAAATAACAAGTGAAAAGCATTTACTGTAATACTAGCCCATACAAAAAAGCTTCTTTTTTTTTGTTGCATGGTAAAGCAAATTTCAACAAATTAAAGCAAATTTCATAGAATCAAATGAAGAAAACATTCCACTTAAAGCATCAAATAACAGACAAAATTATTGTCTAACTCATAGAATCTTTTTGCAACAAGAGAGAAAAATATACGTTTGTCACAATTTGGTTGTAATTTTACCGTGCAACGAGAAAAAAAACCAATTGGTTTTATTTAACGAGTTTATTTTAACAAATTGGTTTCATTAAATAATTGATTCTGAAGCCTTTCATATGAAGCATAAGACGAAAATGAATTTTTAACAAACTAGAAAACGATTCTAAAAACAGGATATACAAAAACAAAGAATTATTTGTACTTTTTTAGCTTTGTTATTTAATAATAACAGAAAACTGAAGTCACTCTTAAAATAAACTATATTTACAAAAAAAATAAACTTGATGTATCGAAAAATTTTTGTGATAAATATGCTTTCTTTTTTCTAATATGACCTAAATCAGAAATAATGTGAGTTAATAGTAAAAAAAACTTTGTCAAAATGAAGAAATATTATTCACTTTTATCTATAATTAAAACTCCTTCCACCTGAAATATAGAATATATGATTAAATGTGTTGCAAATTGTTGTTTTTCTTTTGTCGAAGCAACTTTTATAATTTTCTAAACATTAAGTATTGTGAAATAATTTGTAAATTTTTAATTGACAATTATCGGTAAGAAAAACTTTGTAAGAATAATAAAATAATAATTTTACTTAACTGATATTTGTTCTTAATTTCCCTTTTATGAGATCTCCAAAGCAATTAATTCATTACATAAATTTTAGTTTTAGTTGAATAACTTTCATAACTTGCTATATATTATTAAGAGAAAGTTTTAATTAAATATTCCAATGGAAAAGATCAAACTGTGAAGTAAAATGATTGTTATTTGTTTCAAATTTATGAGAAATAGTTACCTGTTAACTTCTAGACTTCTCTGTAATCTTATAGATAAATCAAACATCCTACTTTTGGTTTCAAGAGTTGCTTTCCTTTCTCTACATATAATTAATTATTACAAGGGGATCCTTTTGCAGACAATTAAGATATTTTTTATAATTGTTTTTCTGTGAAGATGAACTTTGATATTAATAACATAAGCAAGGAGGGGTAAAAATTTCCAAAAACACATATACTAACGAATATTTATAAAATCTCATTAAAAATATTTTTTGGAAATGACTCTCTATGTCATTAGGGTAGATGTCGCTAAAATCATTGTTTATGTTATGACGGCGATCATTTTAAATTAATTAGCTAATTTGTACAAGTAGCATTATTGACTTTTTGGCCGTTACAGATACATTTTATTTTTTGGAAGTAATAAAATGATAATTGTCTCAGAGAAATAAATAAAATCGTTCAAGAAAAAATGATTTCTTAATATTTGAAAACGGACATAATTCAAAATGTAAAAATAATATATAAAAGAAATCCCTTAAAGGGATCAAGAAAAAACATTCTCGCACATCGAGAATTTTAGTTAGCATTTTATACTTAGCGGTTGGAACTGCGATGCCCAATAGGCCACCCCCAGTCGCCAAAAATATAAAATGAAAGTAAATAAATTGTTCCCAACGGACAGTTAGGATCATGGTAAGAGATCCAAATGTTGTTGATTTATAGAAAGATAACATCGCCAAAAATAAAGCCAACTCCCCATAATCAATATTAGGTTTGAGAATACTTTAGCGATCGCCAACAAGACTCTTAGAATTTGTATAACCACGTAACTGAAACATATTTGTAGTAAGAAATGAAGAATAAAGAGGTTATAAATAGACTTTTGTCTTCGATTAGAAGCAATAGTGAATTAATGAGTCAACATTAGTATTGAAATAAAAAGTTGGACGTTACATGGATCGATAAGAAAAGAGTAAAATATTTTATATTTTTGCTTTTTATAAATTTTTCGTCCTAGAACAGAAACAATTTATCAAAAGACAAATTTCCAAAAACACATACATTTGCAAAATGATATTTATAAAGCATTTTTTTATTTTGTTCTTGTCTCTACTTGCGATTAGCATAGGTGTGGATAAAGTCGTTGATTATTAAAATACGATATAAAGCAAGTTAAAAATATCTGTGTAGCTTACATTTAACTGATCTTAGTTTTGATTTCGGTTCCAAGCATTGCTTTCATTTGTTTACAAAATATTAATAGCTGCATTTTGCGGACACTTTAAAAACTTTTATGTCGTTAGAATCATTGACGATTCAATTATGATTTTAGGGGAGTTAAAAAGAATTTGTGTAGAGTACATTTAAGAGATGCTACTCTTGATTTTGGATTCAGTAATTCGGATTCGGTCATTGGCAGACGCTTTCACGATTTTTTTCATTATTTTTTTTGGTATGAAAGAGAACTTTGATCTTAATTACAATAGAAAGGGTTGTCGTCAAAATTTCCAAAAACGTATACATATACTAAAAAATATTTACAAAATCTGACTACCTTATTCCTATCAATATATTTCACTTATTAATTTCTAAAGGCATATAGCTTTTGATCATTTAAACTCAATAAGAAGAAAATTGTACAACTAACTCCATTGAAATATCACTTGCATTTAAATATCTTTCATTATTAGAGAATTAATTTTACATTTGTCATAAATTTAATTTTAAATATTTTATTTTTCTATTGACAAGATTCAAATAGTCAGCTTCGACAAATTCTACAAATTTATTCAAAAAAGTTTGTAATCAACGCCAAGTTATTAAGAAAAGCTATTTTTATCGTGGTCCAAGACGTAATGCCATGTTCTTCTCCCATTTCTTTGCACGAAAATAGCGTAAGTCATAATTGTTGAGTTTTTATTATTATTATTTTTTTTGTAAAATTTTTAAGTTTTCTTTAAGTTTTTACAGACTCGTTTGAGAAAACACAAAGAGCATTTTTCTTTGCATTAAAACAACGCATAAAAAAGATAACTTTTCTAGAAGTTTATCAAAACTATTGTATGATGAAAGCTAACTCAATTTCAAAAAATATTTTCGAAAGCTATTTGTTCAAAATAAAGAGAAAACATTTAAAAAATTACAGAATAACGAAAAGAGAAGAAGAAAATTATTAAAATAAAATAACATAATGAAACAATCTAAAAAATGCAACAAAATAAATTGGCAAAAAAAGCAATAATCTCTTCATCACCTCACACGATTATATCCACAAAAAAGAGTGCTTTCTGTTATTATATCAATCAATATAGCCGAAGCAAAGTATATCAATACAAAAGTGTAAGAAGCACTCAAACAATTTTTTGTAACAAAATCGAACACATTAACGATTAAGAACCACGTAAAAAACAGAAAATAATATGTAAAAAAAAAACAAAACACGGAACGAAATCTATAAAGTGAGTAGCGAATTCAAATAAACTTACAAGTACAGGAAAATTTTTAAGAATGATTTAAAATAATTTCGTAATAAGATTGCCAGATTGCAAAATATGAAAACAGAAGTGCAAAGTGAAGTGAAAGCAAAAATAGAGGGTTTCTGTTTTATAGAGCACGTTCTTACTGCATTACTGAGGTGTGTTTGATTTGTTAGTTACCAAGGATGGGCCCGAAAATGGATGTGCGAAAGGTAACATTAAACTGGATAATTTAAAAAAGTTTATACTTATTAAGGTTGATATTTAACTATACAATTTTAATGATTATGAAAAATTTACATTTAAGAAAAGAAAGAGAAAGAAAGATGAATTGCCTGTTATGAGCCACGGATTTGCCCGAAATGGATTTGCGCCAGGTAAAAATTATATAAATTTGCAGAGAAGTTTTTAGTAAATTTATTTATAATAGCATACAACTAACTTAATGATTTTA